TATTCTTATCTGCTCTGGTCCCCAGTTTCTGTCTTCGCTCTTTCCTTGAAATCTGCCATGTCTCCAGTTTGTTTCTTTGTTGTAATCTTTCTCTTAGTATCATTAATTTCTTGTTTTACTTCTGTGTGTGTTCTTCCTTTATTGGGCGTCCAGTTTTACTTCCTCCATAGGCATTTTGTTAGTTATCCCCATCTGTGTTCTCACCTCTTGCCTTCTGCCTCCTTATCCTCTGTGTTGTCTTTATTGTCTCAGGCCTGGCCTTTGCCGCGTTCTCCATCTTGCTGTGTATTGTTTTTTTTTTCTTATTTGTTCCTTCTAGTTTCCAAGTTTCCTCATTCCTTAGTTTGTAGGTTCTACTCGCCTAAGGTTTTGATTATGAAATTCATATACTTTAGTTCAGCAATAAAACAGTGCGTTTTTTATTTTTCAACAACTTGACATGATTTTTATTCTTCTTAGAGACTTGCAACACAGATTCTGTTCTAGGTAGGGATGGGTATCGTTTAGGTTTTATCCGATACCGGTGCCAAATCGGTACTTTTGAAACGGTGCCGGTGCTTAAAGAATGGAGAACACAAACTTTGTCCAAAAACCTCTCATCTTCAGCTGTTTTTTTGTAAAAAAGATAACAATGTTAGCCTTTTCTGCAGCTATGGGGCATATATGGTATCACTCTTGGCTGGAAGCAGTGCTTAAACAATGGAAAAAACACAAACTTTGTCCAAAACCTCTCATGTTTAACTGTTTTCCACTTTTTCTTTGGTCATTTTAGCCTTTTTGTCCAGGGTGAAGGGAGTATCTGCCATCAAACAAGAGGACAGCCGCATGTAGCTATGATGATGTTTGCTAGTTCACCTTACATGCATTAATGTAATAACGTGGTTAGCCTACTCAACGTAAATTACACTCGAACAACATTAAGCGACTCACGCAGAGAAGAACGGCTGCTGCTGCATCATCATCCTCATCATTTCTGCTACACTTGCAGGGCTAGGGGCCAGGACTCTCCTCTTCGTGTTTTTGGGGGATGTTGCTCCGGGTCCGATAACTGGCAACCCACCCGACGTGCTCGGTGTGAGGTCTCGCAGCAAGCTATCAAATATGGCGCATTTCTCGGCTTTTAAAAAAAACGCTATGCGTCGCCAGGTGTTTCATCAGATTTGAGGTGTTACCTCCTTTGACAGTATCACAGTATCAGCTTAAAGCACTTGTTGCTGCTGAGTTTGCATATTTTGCTGTGAAGTACAGCCAGACTTTTGACCGCTTTGCCTTGGGCATTTTTAATCTGTAGCTCTGCTCTAACTGAACGTACGTACCTGGCCCCGCCTACTATCCTGGGAAACGTAAAATGATTGGCTAGAAGTGTATCACAGCTCAGGAAAAAAAAGCACCGAAATAAAGCACCGAAATGTGCGCTGCTTTTCGGTCTGGTTACTACCGTTTATGTCAGAACCGGTGCCATCATGGCACCAGACACCCTAGTTCTAGGGTTCGGAAAAATACTTCAAAAAACAGTCATACTTTTCTAGTTGGTTCACTCTTCTGTTATGGTGTTCAATATGAATCACTGCTATTATACAGTAGCTAGCTTCTTCAGATTTAACTTTGTTGCAGTCAAGCAAGTTTATATCATTGAGTCTGTCTCCATGATTCTGTCCCTGAGTAATTAATTAAAAAAATGTCTGCAAATTGTGACAGTACAATCTGACCACGATATGGACCCAGCACACTCCGAGATGTACGAGCATCGGGAGGCAGCCTTCACCCAGCTGGAGGAAGAGCTCCACTGGAAGCCGTGGTGCGTCCCTGACTATGAGCACATCTTCCGTGGAATTCAGCCGGCTTTTGGACGTCCCCGGAGCTGCTGAAAACCCTCACTGTACTGTCACTGACTGGGACAGAAAATGGACAGAATAATAAGGGCTGTCTGTGAAGTGATTTTTGATTGCAGAGTTGTTTCTCCCATTTTTGATTTGAAATAAATGCAGTACTGTTATCACTTACTATGTTTGACCATCTCCAACAGCAGAATGATTTTTTTTCTGCATGAGCATAAGTGTTTAAAAACATCCAAATCAATTACAAAATGGTAAAAATTACAAATAGTTCTATGGTCACAAAAGCACCTGAAAATAAATCCATGTTCAAAACCACAAGACTTTTGTGTGCATGAAACAGTGCCATGGTCTATGGAAGGATATTAGTGAAATTCAACTTAAAACCTGTCTATTTGTCCTAGAAGAAAACTGGAATGGGTTAGCAGGGGAGTCATGCGTTCAACTGATTTTTGAAACAAAGGGCAGAACTCATCCACTTTGACTGCAACAGTATATTTTCAGAATCAGAATGAGAATACTTTATTTATCCCTAGGAGAAAATATTTTTCGTTACAGTGCTCCATCATAAACAACCATTAACAAAGACAGAAAATACACTAAGTAAGAATAGCACAATATATACAGGCATATATATACATAAAAGTCACTTATTAATAAATAGCTGAAAAAGAACATGTGCAAGAAGGGTGTAGCTGTTGCAGTAAACAGTGGATGCGATGTACAGGGAGATGGCCACAGGCAGGAAAGATTTCCTGTGTCGTTCAGTGGTGCTTTTCCGTAATCTCAGTCTCTCACTAAACGTGCTCCTGTGACTGACCAGCATCTCATGGAGTGGGTGGGAGGTATTATCCAACATTGGCTTTATCTTAGACAACATCCGCCTCTCCGACACCACCTTAAGGGAGTCCAGCTCCATCCCCACAACATTACTGGCCTTATGAATCAGTTTATCGAGTCTGTTGGCATCTGCGACCCTCAGCCTGCTCCCCCAGCATGCAACAGCATAGAGGATCGCACTGGCCACAACAGACTCGTAGAAAATCCTCAGCATTTTCTGGCAGATGTTGAAGGACCTCAGCCGCCTCAAAAAATAGAGACGACTGTGGCCCTTCCTGTAAAGTGCTGTGGTGTTTTTAGCCCAGTCCAGTTTATTGTCAATGTGTACTCCAAGGTATTTATAGTCCTCCACAATGTCAACACTGACCCCCTGGATTGAAGCAGGGGTCAAGTGTTTCCTGGTCTTCCTGAAGTCCACGATCAATGACAACAGGTTTGACAATGACAATTTGACAATGGCACGATGATGTGGGAACAACTGCCTAAGTCACCAACAAGTTGAAGATGGATGAATAGCAGTGATGGGAATAACGGGGTTAAAAGTAATGCTGTTACTCCTCAGTAACTAGTAATGTAACTTTTTACTTTTTCTATCACTACAATGCTGTTACCATTACTAAAAAGAAAATGCGGTGCGGGCGCATAATTATTTTTCAAAACACAGTTGAAGCTGTCTTCAGCCTACCAGGAGCTTAGGGGGTGAAATATTTACACAAGTGCCGCAGGTTGGCTGAGGAAGGATAAAGTAGTCATGGAAAAGCAATCACATGACCAATTTAAGATGACATAGCAATACGAAGCTATGCTAAATAGAGATGGGTATTGATAAGATTTTCACGATTCTGATTCCATTATCGATTCTGTTTAACGATTCGATTCTGTATCGATTCTTATTTTTAAAAAAGGAGAACACTGAGGTCGATTAGCTTAGAACTTTGAACTTTGAACAAGATAGAAATTTAGGAGTAACATGGCCTTACAAACCCAACAGTGAGATCTTAAGAGATCCACAGCCTAAAAATTGTAAATGTAAAATAATAAAATAAATATTCTTCTGTAGCAATATAAGTATATAAGTATTACATAAATTATTCTGTAGCATTTACACAAGAATATCCAGTAATGTCCCTGCCTACAATTAAACACATTCACTTACTGAAAATCGGGGGCATCTGCTGTGGCAAATGGCAAATTGTTTTACTTTGCTGTTTTCAAAACGTGTGCATAGGTTTTTAAAATGTACAATTTATATTTGCATTTCAAGTTACTAAGATGATTTGTTAAACATACTTGCAGTTGCTATGGTAAAAAATACAACTTTCTTTTCCAGCATGAGGTTGTGCTGAAAGGAATGATGCCAAACAAGGCAGATAAATAGCTTTTAAAGGTGAAATGCAGAGATAAAATCAAAAGTAGTCATTATTTTTTTTTTTTTTTTGTAATGCAATAGTTACTTTTCCTAAGGAGTTTTGAAAGAAAAGCATCTGGACTTCTTTAAGTTGCTTGAAGACGTTTCACCTCTCATCCAAGAAGCTTTTTCCGTACTAGGGTCAAATGGTGACTGAGAACCTTCAATGACAGTTACTTTTCCTAATAATTATTTACTTTGATCATATTATAACTCAGTTACCAACTCATATTACTTTTTTGAAGAAGTAAGTAGTAACTATAACTAACTCATTTTTCAAAGCAACTTTTCAAACACTAACCAATAGTGAGGAATAGTTGCTGAATAGGCCACATCCTGCCACATTATTGCCACATCTTGTTTAAAAAATTAAAATCAACAGCTATCAGAAAGTTCCATGTAAATGTAGAATGACGAAGCACTCTTTGTAATTTTCATTTTCCTAAGGTAAAGTGGTGCAACCCACATCAGACAAAGAAGTAAAATCATAAAGGAGAAAGGACAAATAAGCCAAAATGTGACACGGTTGACAAAAAGATACACTTTCCTATAACAATGCTAAGCCTATAACTCATCACATTTCCTTGGCACTAGCAGGTTTTCAAAGGTACACCCATAGTCATCCCAGCACATTTAAGCTGGAAGTTCAAAAAACAGAGAAAGTCACTGAAAAAAAACATGCTTGGGTTTTCTTTGGTCTGAGCTATGGGCACAGATCCTGGATGTTTTTCCTGAGATCTATCACTACTGCCTACCACCAATGCTGTGTGGTTATCCATCATCAGTTCCCATCTATATCTGGAACAACCCCAGTCAATCTAGACCCTAGACAAGTGTCATTTCCTGATTTTGCAACTATGTAAATAAAAGAGAATCCTGTATATAAACACTGATTCAACTCTATTCGCACATCTACTCTGGAAGACTGAAGCTACTGGCTGATACTGAAAAGAGTGAAGACGCTCTACAAAAGGTCTGCTGCAAACTCTCTAATGATCATCTATCACTTATTTTATGAACTGTCAGTCATTTTGGGTCTTTGTTTTTACACAGAGGTACCATGAAGCTGTTGACTGTGTCTGCACTGCTTTGTGTGATGATGGCTTTGTGCAGTGTTGCTGGTGAGTATTGCAGCACAATAGTCATTATATAAAGAAACCATTGCATTATAAAGAGAAAACATGACAAAAATATAATTAAATATGTAGTTAAATATGAAATACAACTGCATATAATGGAAAAAAGAGAGGAGGCAGGGATTGTTACATAGAGAACTTGGATTGAGAACGAGCATCCAAAAAGAGAAAAAAAAGATACAAGCAACTCTATTATTTTTCTGACACAAGAAGTGTGTTTAATATTTTTTGCTTGTACTCAGAAGAACACCATAGTATTTAAAGAGCAACGGCACATTTTGTGAAAAAAAAAAAATAGTTGTTCTAAATTAGGAACCATAATCTCGGTTTTATTGTTTTTCTGAATTATTACAACGAATTATTTTCCTCCAGCACAGAGGTGCAGGGGTTGTCCGCATGGTTGGTCTCGGATCCATCGTCGCTGCTTTCTCTATGTTCCAAGAGCCATGAATTGGGCTGCAGCTGAGGTAAACTTCTCTTACTTTGTCTCCAACACTGCTATTAAAATACATGTTAGTCCAGTTGTGAAAACTCTGCTCTGTCTGTCACTCTTCATTAAAGAGAAACTGCCTGTCCATGGGAGCAAACCTTGCATCTGTGCACACCAGCGCAGAGCACCAGCTGATTCAGAGGCTGACTGCCCATAATGGCTACGGAGTAACTTGGGTTGGAGGAACTGATGCATCTGGGGTATTTTTTTTTTTATCATTACAATATGTGTGTTATGATATGTCTTTTCTCCTGTCTTTTGAAGTTGTCTCTATATCTGTTTAGCATCTTACAATATAAACTACTTTGAGTAAATTTGGCACCATTTAAATAAAATTTAACTGAAATTGTTTTTTTCTATTTACTATTTCTTATATGCATCTTTTCCAGTAGTTTGTATTCAGCTTGACTTCACTAAACTCAGTTTTGAGGGTTTTTCATTAGATGGTAATAGGTGGTGCTACCTGATGCAAGGTTTCAAGCTGGTTCGATCTGAAAATACAGCGCCTACACACTGCATGCCACCAGGTGTCCAGTCAATGGTGTCATTTGATGAGTCATGAGAGTGACTCATCACCATCATTTTTGAAAGATTGTTGTCTATATGAATGGGCTACAGTGATTAATACAAAAAGTTACAAGCAGCTTAAATAATATTGCCTATTAGAGATTTGCTAATTGGTTAGATTGAAAGTTATGACAGTGGGTTGATCTGTAAAAACTGTGGCTAGCCTCAATATTCTGACCTGGACTAATGCTATGATCAATTTCTGTCCTCTAGGAGGGTATTTGGTTGTGGAGTGATGGGAGCCGTTTCAACTATCAAAACTGGTGCGGAGGAGAGCCCAATAATTATTTGAAACAGGATTGTCTGCAGATAAACTATAGCGGTAATTCAAATCACATTGATTTACATGAGTTCTTGTGATTAAAAAAATGTGTACAATATTTTACTGATTTCTGAATTTGAAAATTGCAGGTTCCAAATGTTGGGATGATCAGCACTGTCATGTTAATCTGCCATCTATCTGTGCCAGGAAAATATCAAGACGCTGGGTCGGCACTGAAGCATGAAAATGCCATTACCACACAAACACCCTGATATATAATGGTGTTTATATTCTGCTTGCTATTTTGCTTTCTTTCACTTTCCACCATTACATTTTTCCTCTCCCTCTAGCACCGAACCAGAAGAACAAAGTGACAAGTCAACTGTGTTTTAGGCCTCGTGTCTTTAACAGTAGCACACTGATTGTGTTACCAAAGGATTGATTTGAGCACTTTTTTTCTGCAGAGTAAACTTTTTTTGTGTTTTACGCAGCATTAAAGCTTTCAGTCAAGCATATTTCTTGTGTCATGTATCTTGTGTTTAGCCATATATAAGTGTAGATTAATATCTACCTGCATCTTAAAAAACAAACAAACCAAAAATGATAAAACAGAAGAGTGGACAGAGATTTTAAAAATTCAACCTAATATCCTTCATATTGAGGTTATACTTGCCATGCACCAGTTAACTACAGTTAACAATAACTCTAGTGCCTTTTAAATAGAGTGTATATAGAGTGTAAAGCATTGAGGGTAGTTCTCATCTTTGCAGTACATCCAAAAGCACACTATTTACCAGCTGCTATAGAAAGGACAGAACAGATGTTTAAAACTATTGATATTAATTAAATCAAGTGCAGACAATGTTATTGCTCTAAAGAAAGGTGTGTTAAACTACGCTGCATGCTGAGGTGGCAACCCCTAACCCTACTCAAGTATATTTAAATAAATGTAATTTAAAATAAATTAAACTTAAAATAGGGACATATTCAAAAGTTTCAGGATACTGGTCCTCAATGACTGGAGTTTGACACCAGGCCTTTGCAGAGATGTTTGAAGGGGCAAGTGTTCAAAGTTAAAAATTGACACACAGAACCAGGGTGAATAAGAGGAACCCAGAAAGGAGCGAAACACAGAGAGCACAGAACGGCAAATGCGTTGGCATGACGTCGGGGCAGCTTGAGTATTTTTACATGAGTGTACTATATGCGAAAAGTGAGCGCGAGAGCCCTCGGTGCGCCTGCTCGCTGCTGAAGTCAAAGTAAACTTTATTGTCATCTCCACTACATACAGTCCAGTATATAGAGAGACGAAGAGGCTCCAGTTACAGCAGTGCAAGTAAACAAACAATAAATATAAGAAGAGTAAGAAAATAAATATACACTTTAGGACTCGGGGTAAAGGACAATTTAAAATTTATAATTTACAGTTTGATGATTTAAAGCACAGGTGTCGAACTCCAGGCCTCGAGGGCCGGTGTCCTGCATGTTTTAGATGTGTCCTTGATCCAACACAGCTGATTTAAATGGCGTGGGAGTGTTCACCCAGGGCGCCAAACAGGCTAGGACCACCACTGGCAATAAAGCAAGAGATTAATCAGTAAGAAACCTGACAGCTCAGCATCAAAAACCACCAGATTTCTGTCAGACTGAATAATATTTCATGATTAATGAACAGATTAGTGTGTTGGGGTTGTTGGATATAAAGAGGGCATACCGTAGTTTGTCAGATCCATGTCACTGGTGAATGATACAAGTCACTGTTCCTAATATTGAAGGAGACCTGGCCTAGAGAAGAGGTCTGCAGGTATTTGGTTCACTAGACAAAGAAATGAATAAAGGTTGCTCTGTTGACTGAACTCTGCTTTGTGTCTCTCATGAGTGTCCTTTGCAACCCTAAGAAAAAAATATCCACAAATGTTTGCTTGGTCTTTGTTTAATTCATTGCTTACCTGTCTTGTGAAGGTGTCCTCTGATCAGTGTGACAGCATGCAGCAACACTGACAGTTAATAGTATGTTTAGCTTTACGCACTAATTGGTTTGCACCATTGTTTTAGGAATCCTGAGTCTTAGTTTGAATTTGGTAAAGAAATGTCCAAAGTACTCATTCACACTGTCATATGAACAGACACATTATGTGGTTTAAAAACACGAGGACTTACACATGAGCTTTAAATGAGCAGTCCTTACCTTTAAATCTAACCTCTCCTCTTCCTCTCCTGTCCTCTTTCTTATTTACTCAGCTTTGATCAATGGTCATGAGAATTTGCATATTAATAATCAAGGAACTGACCCCCCCAGCCCATTGTTCCTTCAGTGGTGCTAGTTTCAGTCATTATGCAAACGTGCTGCAATGCAAATGTTTATCAGGTTGTGGAAACCTGCAGTCAGCTGAGACTGAAGAAGTCACTTGGATGAGTGACGAAACGTTTCTCCCAATGAAAATGCTGCATCCAGATGAACAGAATCAACTTTTGGGGATTTACTAACTAACTAACTGGATGACTGAGCACGAATCAAGACAAAACAACATTAACCTAATGATATTAACTATACACCACCTTTATAAAGCATCTGTCAAAAAGTAAAAGTGAAGATGTGGGTAAACATTCTGTCAGAGTAATTATTTTATATCTTTAATTCAGTGGGTTTGTGTAAGTCTTGTATCTATGTGGCATCAGCTGTTACCTGTGTTTTCCTTAGCTGTAGGGTTCTCAGATCTCTTAGTCACTAGTATAAATCAATGCTTCTTAAATAAGCATTTTTAAAAAATGTATTTACTTTTATTGTGCTTCAATCCTAACATACATGGTGAGTGCATTTCTTATGTCAACTTTTACCTAGATCTTTTTATTGTGTTTAAAAAACTTTGGCCTACAGAACAGGCTGAACCTGTTAACACTACCAGGTGCTGAGTAGATGTCAGCTGGGCTAGAGTTTCAGCTTTCATTTAGCCACATGATAAATAAGCACAGTTTCGTGAACTTGAAGGCCTTACCTTTCAATCAAGTCTCTTACATGCATTTTAATTTGCTGTTCTTCTGGATTGTTTCCATCACAATTATAATGTGTCTGTGTGCTTCCATTGGTGGATATGTGCTATGATAATTTTATGAGGTGTTTTGATCTAAATTTTGTTTGTTTAAATTGTTGATTTCTGTACATTTCTGTGTACAAATCTAAACTAAAGGTGCGCTCATAGAAACATTTTTTTCACAGCAAGGTCTAACATAGTGTAGCTTTTAATGTGCAGCAGGTGAATATAAAACACTGCCATCTAGTGTACTTTCATTCTGATGTACACTAAAAGGAAACCAGCATATAAAAAAAACCAAACCAAAACGACTTCCTTTACACAGAGCTGTTAGCAGTGTATAAAGGAGAAGTTACAGAGTCATACTCACCTTAAGGACCACATTCAGCTTTTGACCATTGAGGTAAATATTGACTGTGTGGTTATTTTGTATTTTAGACTGCAAACATATTTTGTCTATTTATGCATCTGTTAAGTTATAATTATGCTAAAATGAAACAAATTATTGTTCACATATCGCTTTCTTTATTTTGAAACCTAAACTATTCAAAATTAACTGAAAGAGAGTAATGAGGTATAGATTATTCATTTTAATGTAATTGTTCTCTCCACGTAAATATGAAGGCCATTTTTAAATGTCACATTTTTCCTTTCAGGAAAATTTCCCTTCGTTTGACCTTGTGCATTTGTGGTTTTGTTGTCCTTACTCTAAGTGGAAACAAAACGAAAACCAGTTAGTAAAAAAGTTCTAATGTGACACAGGTTTCTTAAGCAAAATTAATAAAGATTGAATGTATTTTCTTAATATTTATTGTATTTTCGAGTTGCTACAAATTCCGAGACTGCCTGGATAAATGAAGGCTTTTTGCAGAAAAAACAAAATACTAATGTACAATTACCAATATGAATATTATGTTTTTGAAAAAGAAGGAAGCTAAATAGAAAAGTATTTCAACATTTTTAACTTTCAGCTGAGAGGAAGTCAGCAAATATTTGAGTTCAGGTGAACCAGAAAATGAGACCAAACCAGTAAGTAAACAAACATTGTTCTTATCTGCTTCCAAGGAAACAGTGAGATGTTTGGTTCAGAAGTAACGTCTAATCTGAATAACAAAGATGTTCAGTCAGACATAAATCAGAAACACAAAGCTGAGAAAGGGTAATTTAATAGATTGAGAAGGAGATGAAGATATAGAAAAATTTCAAACAAATTTCTACTGAATGTTTCTCTGAACACAGGAATGAACTTGCGGTAAAGACTTTTGGGACTTTATTTACACAGTTACTTGCAGAAGGGAAAATAAGGTTAATAGGGTGAATGGTTGATCCAATTGTTTGTCTGGACAGAGGCAGAGACCAGCGTCTTTCTGGTGTGACTTCTGATTTTGAGAGGGACATCAGAAACAGAAAATATTAAATAGCTTGGTGCTTAACGGAGCCAGACACCACAGCTCTCCTAGTTAGGGCAAGGGAGCACAAAGCTTAGGGGCAAAAATTTGGAGACAGAGGGGAAATGTCCAGGAAAAACTGTGAAGAAGCACCTGAATTCACAACTATGGCAATAGAACAAAATATCAGAGCTCTAGCAGATGGAGACTGATTGAGCTAATCTAACAGATTCCCCACCCCACAGCTCAGTAAGACCTCACTCACAAAGACTTAGACAAAGCCTGGGCGGATTAGAGGATCATCAGGGGGTCCTTTTGTCCCTCTGTGGGGGTCACTCCCACTAGGTTTATATCTGGGACTCTCCACCATTTGACCTTAGAACTGAAGAAGCTTCTCGGATGAGAGATGAAACGTCTTCAAGCAACTTAAAGAAGTCCAGACGCTTTTCTTTGCAAGCTCCTTTGACTACGATGACCTGGATGACTGAGAACCTTCACAGACATCTTTAATTTAACTGCATTCACCTAGGTCTTCATTACTGATTTTTCATTAAAGGACAAATTTATTGAAATGGCCTAAACTTTACATTGGAAGTTAATCAAACTATCTATAATATGATCTTAATCCCTTTCTGTTAAATTGCATTGCAATTGCAGTTTCATTTGTTAATACCCAGCATATAGATACATATCTGACTTTAATAGAAGTTACTTTTAGTGATTAATTCATCCTCAGTAAGTCATTGTTGATTCTGCCTCTCAGCCATTTATGCACATAGTAAGTCCCACCTTATTTACATGTGTTCAGTTCAGTTTATTACTAACCTATACTAATACTAAAAGTGGCTGCGTGTAGCAGGAGATGCAGCTAAGTTTGGCAAATTGCATTTGACACATTTTGTGTGTGTGTTTTGTCCAGAATTACACTGCACTTTTCATCTTTAAATCTTACAATCAAGATAAATGTTATAAATCTTGTAATCATATGCATCATCAACAAATTATGGTCTGGGTGTGAAAAGTGAAGACAATGGAGCAAAGTTTGTTCAACCTCTATAACCAGCAGGGGGAGACTGCTCTGCAAATAAATGTACTCTGCTTTAACTTATGTAGGCGTTCATTACAGATCAGCGTCCTTTCTTATATTCCTTTCTCTCTCTTCCAAGTTTGAAGATAAAGTGACTGAAGTCCAGCAGCAGGTAAAAGATGAACAGAGGAGGGAGGAAGCTGAGTGAGAAGTGGAGCTCTTCAAAGGGGGGTTGGAAATGGTAGTCCTGAGTCTGTATGAGTCGAGTACATAATTACAGTGTCATAGGCTGTGGATATGGTTCATGTAGTCTGGGTCTAAAGCACTCAGATTGTTTCCTCTTCGTTCCTAAACCTCTGTTTGTCTTCTTTTCTCTGTATTTCTCATATTATCACAGCACTAAAGTAGAAGAACTGATAATAGTTTTTTTTTAGATTCACACTAAAATCTGAAAAATAAAGCAAATGATTTACAGATCATTATATTGGTAAAATGAAAGTGTAATCTGGTTTTTGTGTGTATATCATCTTTTATTCAGCCAAAGACAGCAGCAGTGAAATCTTTGACAGCATCTCACATTTTTGGAGGAAACTGTGATTAAAAGAGATCTTCCTATCTTTATCTGGGTTGCAGGGAGGCTGGAGCATAACCCAGAATTGATAAAAGGCGGGTTAACCTTGGACAGGTCGCCAGCCCATCGCAGGGCTAACACAAAGAGACAGACATCCGTTTAGCCCTCATTCACACGTATCGGTAATTTGGAAGTGTAATTAATCTAGGTCTATTAATTGCATGATTTTTAACTGTGGGAGGAAACCAAAGTAGCCAGAGAGAACCCACTTGAAACTACACTGATTGTGAATTTGAACCCAAGACCTTCTTGCTGTGAGGCAACCGCACTAACCACCACACCATTGAGCTCTCAAGTTAGGCTTAAAAAAAGTAGGAAGCTAAGATTACAGTGATTTTACTGATGTTTGCGATCTCATGTGATCTTGTGAATTTCGTGAGTCCAGGCAACTAAGCACTCTCACTAGATTGTAACATGTCATCTCAACAAGAACAAATTAAGTTGTTGAATTTCATGCAGATCCTACATGATTTAATTAGGTTCACCATAGAAACATGAAATTATTTTGTTTAAAAGCTTGTACTTCAGTAACTCCTCATTAATCAGGAAGTATGGATTAAAGTACTGTAGTGTACTGTAAAACTGAAAAAAAAGTAAGAGAAGAACTTCAGATCCTGAGTGTGTGAGGACAGAAGAATCAGCTTTATTTCAATTTTGAGGGATAAAATTTATATTTGAGTTTGATGGTTCTGTTCTCTTTGTGATTACAGGAGCTGCCCTCAGATTCAGACCTCAGCACCACCCAGTGACAGCAGACAGATCATCCAACATGTTCACATGTTAACTGCAAAATGAACTGATGAAAACAGTACAAAGGGTAACGTACCACATGTGCTGTAGTGAAAGCTGCAGCTGTTTTATTGATAAAGTTAAAGACAAAAAAACAAAAGGATTACTCACCCATGTAACTGTGTCACTATATATCAGCATTAACAGGACCTCAGTTTGGCTGATCTCAGACCTGCACAGCTTCCGTTTTAAACACTTGATGTACTCAGCTGCATGAAGAGCACATGAGATTTTCTCTGACACAATTAAATAAAACCCGATGAAAGTCAAAGGTCGTCACTTGTATGATGAACTACAAACTTGTCATCTGGAATTCTTTCACAGTTTTTTGCAGATAGTGTGTTATTTAGTTATTCATACCAGAGTGTATTTTTAAATATATAACTTTCTACAGGACTGAATATAATATCTTTATGTAAAAGTCCGGAGCCTCTGGGGAGTATCCAAGTATTTATAACATTACACAAGCCAAAGGTCTCCATCACAGTGTTCATGAAATGCTGGGTTTATCCATCTCCTGGGGCGGGCGTACGGAGGAGTGCTGAAGATGTCCCTGTGAGGGAGCTGCTGGTGAAGATCATGAGTCCTGCTTGATCAATGCCATGCGCTTCAGTCTTCCTGGTGTTTCGTAAATGAAGCCTCTCTCAGTGGGTCAACAGAACTTCTGGCACAGGACAGCTGTGATGAAAGAAAGGGAAGAAGTTTCTCCAAACCTCTGGACCCAGAGACCCAGCTTAGTCCTCATGGTCTCCCTCACTAGTTTCTCTCCAGGGTGAATGTAGCTGTTGATATAATACGGACTCTATTATTAAATGAAAAAAAACAAATTACACTACACTACTGAAACGTTCTGCTGCTGTTTTAAAGGTTTCCATGTTACCAGGCTGTAGAGGGGTCTGAAGATTTAAACAGTTTTAGATCCATTACACTCACAGTCTTAAGGACAGCATTATATTTTTGATATTAACAGTAACTAAATCTAAACTCTTTAAACGTCAAAGTTGATCATTAGATTGTTTTATGACACAACAGTGGTGAGTGTTCCCACCTTCTGCTCTTTGTAACTTAATGCGATCTTTCCGTTTTCGAGTTTTGGACATGATTTTGGAGTATATCCGGTAGCGATTGACCACAAAGTAAAGCTACCGGAAATGTACAACCCTACATCCGGTCTCAAACCAGGAAGTTAGCATTTTCTCGTGCACAGGGTCTATTCCCAGTTTATGTTCACAAACAGAAAAGTTCATAAATATAATGATTTCATGGTTTTTAGTGATTTAATGTATTTGCATTATATGGTTGATCCCTGAATCAATTTGCCAAATGTGTAAGTCACTTCTAACTATGCATTTATATTAATCGACAATGACGGCAATACTGTTGTGACCATGACAGCAGGAGAAGTTAAAGGTTTAAAAAAGAGTGCAAATGAAAGCATTTAAATGCTGACAAATATAATGTACTTTTTTGTATTCCATTTTTCTTTGTTAAAAAGAAGAAAAATATAGTTTTATAAATGCAGCTGAAATACAGGTTAACAACTCCAATGCATTTTTAGATCAGATGAGGGTGGCTGTACAAAACGGTATAGAAGTAGATATAAATATATAAATAGTGTACAAATTCTCTACATAAAACATGTTGTGAGCATGCAGTGTGTGTCATTACATTTTGTGTGAAGGCAGAATCAGAAGTGATCTTATCTTAAAGTTAACAGGGGACAGTCAATTTTCTGCACTTATGCACTCAAGGAAAAAAAACACAGTTAGTACACAAACTAAAATGCAAAGCATAGAGTTCATTCATGACCACCATTATCAAAAAAAATATATATTATTATTTTTATTTATTTATTTCTTAAATGGGTTTACTTAAAAAGAGGCCAGTGAGGATTTCCAGTTCTAGTGTATTTCTTTATTTTGTTTTTTCTTTTTAATATGTATATTTCTTTGCAGGTGCAGTGTGGAACACAAAGTGAGTTAAAGTGCTTAAACATATCACCGTTATCTCTTCATCAGCTGTCAGCTTTATATGTCAGCACAGTGCACGACGTGTGTGTGCAAACGCATCTGTATGCAGCCTTAGATGATAACAACAAGGACCTCTTCCTCAGTCGTCGACCTAACAAAAAAAAAGAAAAAAGTAAAGATGCAAATGACCAGACAGGAAATGAGCGTGCTTAGCACCAACATGTCGGGGGCATTTCACTCATATGAGTCATTTCTGGATTGTGGGACTCAATGTTTAAATTTGAATTGGTGCCATTATTATTATTATTATTATTATTATTATTATTATTATTATTATTATTATTATTATTATTTAGATTAATAACAAGGTCTCTGTATATGTGTGTTAACCTTTTCTCCTGCACTTTTGTGTGTAGATGACTTCAGTGTACGGCATGACCACAGGGTCAATTTTACCTACAGCAAAAAAAAAACAAACAAGCAAAGTGTTGCAGAGCATTTAAATGATAAAAGTTGGACACATGTTTATTTGTTTCATTTACAATATTTTAGCGGAGTGAAACTGTAACAGTCTTCTGATTGTTACTCTTCATATCTCACAAGATAGTAATTTCTTCTGCATGCATACCTTTGCTGCTGAGGCTGAGCAGAACAGCTGAGAACAATAAGAGGAAGATGCAAGCCACAGGAAACCGAAAGTGTGTCAGGCCAGGATGACGCAGTTCAGGATGTCCTGCTTCAAAGCACAAAAACCACAGGTTAGCATGATGATGGAAACAACTATGTCCACTGTGTACATGGCTCTTTATTATTCTTTATTTTCATCATCAGTGATTTAGGGCAGAACAGAACTGAGGATCCTTCGATTTGCCAACCAATTTATCGGGAACAGAAAAGAAAGTCCCCTGACATCATTGCACCATTTCACCTCCTTAAATCTGTCAGCTGCACATGCATGACACATCCAGTTTACAGGATTTCACTGTTGTCACTGGAGAAGGCTGTGAAGTCTAAGCTTAACCACAACGCTCCTTCAATGTGTGAGACGTCACACTTTCTGAAGATGTCGAGGAATTCTGCTGTTTTGACAAATTAACATGCATAACCATTACTGCACAATGCCAGAACATATGTAATGTCAACAGGTGATGAAACTGGATAACTTGCATGAGCATAATCATCTTACTCCTACTTCCTCTCTGTATCTAAGATGGTGAACATTGGCAGCAGGGAGTGGACCGCTTCACAATCAAACTTTTACTTTTATTACACCATCAAGTACCAGCAAAGTCTGTACTGGTACTTGTCAGGATACATTTTTTGACTTAAAATAGCACATATAAGTAAAAGATTAGATGAATTTATCTTTGTAAGCCAACTGTTATGTTGTTAAATGCGATTCACATAGTCATCAACAAAACTTTCAAAATACGACCATCCTGATATCATCACACTGCCAGGAGCAGTTTGATCAATTTAAAGCAGCTTAGATTCAGTAGGTATTAGCCAGTATACATTTGCTCCTAATAAAATTCACTCTACAGTTAAACGAAGTAATAATAATAATAATAATAATAATAATAATAATATTCTTACCTCTGACAGTCATCCAGCTGTCAGGTGATTCTCCTGCTCCAGAGATGTTGCACTTGTAGAGTCCCTCATCACATTTAGAGACTCTGTAGATAGTCATGTTTCCTGTTGAGCTGCGCCCAATAAGAAGCTCATTTTTGTAAAATTCACTTATGACATTATCATAGAGAGTGGCCATGTATTTACAGTTCAGAATTACAGTATCTCCCTCCATCACAGGATGAACGGGACTCTCCAGGATCACAGAACCAGCTGAAAGACAAACATGCAAAAGGTCAACGTGATACTGGAGTCTACTCAGTTCTGGCTGTTTTAATTGAAACAAACAAACAAACAAAGAGCAAGACTTCTTCTTGTGAGGGTATAACTTTACAAAATCAGGAAATCATGCTGGTAAAAAAAAATCTAACTGGATGTTTTTTAAGTAATGAGAAAGTACATTAAGAACACTTCAACATGCATGTGAACTCTGTCAGGTTAATATTAATTAATAGAACTGCGTATGTCAGCAGTGTGACCGGGAAAGCAGGAGGACGGGACAAATGTAAACATTGTGTTGTTTAAGACTACTGAGCTGGGCAGAGGGGGG